CACACACACCAGAGGACCACTGTGATACAATACAATACAATACAATACAATTTTATTTAGGTAAGGTACATACATACAATAAATATTTACAAGGATTGTTTAACTTATAGGTATAGCTAGTACATACAATGCCTAAAGCCACTATTACGCAAAGCGTTTCGGGCATGATAAACTTAAATGACAAGCTTAATACTAATTGAGCATAATGAGTAGAATGAAAACAAGAAATGAAAACATAGATGAAAAAGCAGCACAAATACAATTATGTCGACAAACAGCGCTCTTTAAAGAAAAAAACAGACATTGGTTGACAATAGAAGGGTAAGTCGGAAAATCCGACACCATTTAATATATCATACAGACAGATAATAATTTCTGCTGTATTACCAACAAGTTACCCATAGAAAACGTAACTTGTAGTGGAATTACCGTCTATAGAAAACGGGATATCATCACCACATACTATTATAATTCACCAGCTATTCTGCTGGGAATTGTTCTTAAATACATTAGTCTTTGGACTTTACCATCATAAAAACATCTTATATAAATTAACTTAATTATCAATATTAAAGTAGAGTAAATGTGACCCTTCTATCACTTTCTGAAATCTGGACAAAGTAGGCCAGGCGTCAGTGAGGAAGGAGGGCAGCCATTGTTGTGTCACCTCCGAGACGTGTGGAGCAAATTCGGCTCCTATCATTCTGGACAATGTCGGCCAGTAACGTCAATAGTATGGAGTGTTAAACAGTCATTGTTATACGAGACCAGAGGCTCACACGGGAGCAAATTCGGCTCCTGTTAATTTTACTTGGACGTAGTGTTATGGATACCAAAGGTGTACCATCTGTCAACACGCTGTCAACAAATCAAGTTAAGTGTTCTTTCCGAAACCCATTATTTATCATTAGTGGCCATTAATGTCATTATATAGGGTGACCCGGTTAGATCACATGGAAGCCTCAAACTAAAGGTAATTAAGCCAGGTCTTCATGTTCCATGTACTGTTTTCTCTGATATACTTGTCATATATAGGTATCTGGCTTCACAGCTAGCGCACTTTTGACAGGTCAAGACGAGGATGCAAGATTTGTGCACCAGTTACTGGGTGATATGGAAGCTACCTCAAAGAGGATAATTTGGTGTCTACACCCTAGTTATACCTGGTGGACTAACCTGCTGTACTATAAGATAAGGAACCTCTTTAATGTATGTAGTTATTTCTGTAGTTTGATTGGCTGCATATATATATTAATTTAATAACCCCCCCCCTAATGTGTAGAGGATCGATTTGTGAGATTGAGATTATTGCAGAAATACAGTCCACTTATCATTATACAAATTGCTATCGAAGTATATAAATTAACGTAAATATAAATTCATATAAATTAAATAAATATAAATCTCACAGGTCGGTTCCCACATTATTTGGTCATCTTCGAACTGGATGATGGATTATTTGATCCTTTGAACCCACATTTGGTCATCTTAGTACCGGATGAACCAGTTATCCAGTGGATTCATTAAATATACTAGTGCAGTGTTATTTAAACAAAGCCAGTCAAGACGGCGGCGTTGACTCGTGCGAGTTCACGAGCCCAGCTCAGTTCAGTTAAGCCTTAGTCAGCGGTTTCATGCACACCCACAGATTTGGTGGCGTGTTATTCTGTGAAATGACAGCGCTAATATAGAAACCAGCCAAATTATTGACTGTGTCGCGAGATTGTTCACGGATTTCGTGGTGTTACATTTCGCGAGAGATTATCTACGAATTTTGTGGACTTTATTTCGCGAGGTCACTAATAATATTTAATACTTCTTGATAATATTAGAAGTTTCATAGAGGCTAATTAAGAGGCTATTAACAATAATTGTGTATATTATTTCTCCAAATAGAGAATTATTTAATATAAACTGCACTAGTGTTCTCAATATAATATTTACTAATTGCCAACCCACAACAGGGTAGGATATTGACTAGTTGAACTATTATCGTTCATCCTAGTCCCATTATTACCATAGTCAGTTGTACTATATTGATCAACCTAACACCATTAATGAATGGTCCAGACCCTATTTTGGGTGTAATTTTTATCAACTCGAGTTGAGTTGTATATATAATAATTTACTTATGATCATTACACCTTTGAGTGATTAATTAGTGTCTCTACCATCCTAGGGTGATATAGAAGAGCTAACCTAAAGGTACTTCCATGACACTGGTTTATCACTCAAATCATTAGTGTGTATGATTGTATATATATAATGTGTATTAATTTTAAGTGCTAACCTCTAGTAGAGGTAGGATTATTGCCTAGTGAGTTCAGAATTTACCCTAGGCTACCATTAGAGCTTGTTCAGTATTATGAGCAGCCCAAGTACAAGTCCCACAAGGCTTCACCAACGAGCCAGTATGGATAATGCAGGGAGAATGAAAAGAACCCTTGCAGGTCTTAAAGGCCACTTAACAAGACAGATCAAGAAATGTGAAGATTTGTCACAACAATCTCAAGTTGATTATGCTGACCTGGAAAGCTATTATCAAGCAGCTGCAGGTAAATTTGAGCAAATCAAATGCCAAATGGCTGTCCTTGTGGGGGCAGACTACTACCATCGATTCATCGGTAGCCCTACTAAATATCAGGGCATAACCATGTTAAAGTCTGCAGGAGGTAAATTACTCTCAGGCCCAGTATCAAGCCTGAGGAGACCTATGCCTGCAGATAAACAATACCAATAGAAATCTAAATTTGTCAGCTGATTATATTTCTCCAGTAGCATTATACTAAGGAGATTACAGCTGACTATACCAACAGAGGTTGATGTTAGTATCATCATTTGAAGCTGAAGATGAGTTCATGAGGCCTCAGTGGCAAATCAGTGAACAGTAGCCTAAACCAGCTACAAGTCACTGCGACCAATGTCACTGAACCCACTGCAGTCTCAGAACCATACTTTACTTTAATGATGAGCTATTCAATCTTCTGAATCAATTAATTAAATTAAACCCTAATAAATCTGATGACTGATTTGATACATTTATTATTTAATCAAGATGAATTCCATGGGCCTCAGTGTTTATATATCAGTGACCAGTTACCTGAAGAAACTTCAAGTTATATCTAATGTCACTGATCTCACTGTAGTCCCTGAATCATACTTGACTGTAGTACTTGATCACATTCAGTCTTCTGGGTTAAATAATATGTAATAAGGCTTGAATATTAGCCTTTCAAGAGTTGACAGGGAAATGAAATCGCATTAGACTTCTAACCCCTGCAACTCTAGTACGGGACATCCGTCCTGTACGAACAGACACACAAACGTGTGATTACTAATTACTAACATCAAATTAATCTAATAATTCGAAGGAGGAGTATCGGTGTTCGTCTGTTCTAATTAGGACTTCGACCCGTGAGCAGCCCCCTGGGGAATTATGTCGGAAAATCCGACACCATTTAATATATCATACAGACAGATAATAATTTCTGCTGTATTACCAACAAGTTACCCATAGAAAACGTAACTTGTAGTGGAATTACCGTCTATAGAAAACGGGATATCATCACCACATACTATTATAATTCACCAGCTATTCTGCTGGGAATTGTTCTTAAATACATTAGTCTTTGGACTTTACCATCATAAAAACATCTTATATAAATTAACTTAATTATCAATATTAAAGTAGAGTAAATGTGACCCTTCTATCACTTTCTGAAATCTGGACAAAGTAGGCCAGGCGTCAGTGAGGAAGGAGGGCAGCCATTGTTGTGTCACCTCCGAGACGTGTGGAGCAAATTCGGCTCCTATCATTCTGGACAATGTCGGCCAGTAACGTCAATAGTATGGAGTGTTAAACAGTCATTGTTATACGAGACCAGAGGCTCACACGGGAGCAAATTCGGCTCCTGTTAATTTTACTTGGACGTAGTGTTATGGATACCAAAGGTGTACCATCTGTCAACACGCTGTCAACAAATCAAGTTAAGTGTTCTTTCCGAAACCCATTATTTATCATTAGTGGCCATTAATGTCATTATATAGGGTGACCCGGTTAGATCACATGGAAGCCTCAAACTAAAGGTAATTAAGCCAGGTCTTCATGTTCCATGTACTGTTTTCTCTGATATACTTGTCATATATAGGTATCTGGCTTCACAGCTAGCGCACTTTTGACAGGTCAAGACGAGGATGCAAGATTTGTGCACCAGTTACTGGGTGATATGGAAGCTACCTCAAAGAGGATAATTTGGTGTCTACACCCTAGTTATACCTGGTGGACTAACCTGCTGTACTATAAGATAAGGAACCTCTTTAATGTATGTAGTTATTTCTGTAGTTTGATTGGCTGCATATATATATTAATTTAATAACCCCCCCCCCTAATGTGTAGAGGATCGATTTGTGAGATTATGAGATTATTGCAGAAATACAGTCCACTTATCATTATACAAATTGCTATCGAAGTATATAAATTAACGTAAATATAAATTCATATAAATTAAATAAATATAAATCTCACAGGTCGGTTCCCACAAGAGGACCACTGTGAGTCACACACCAGAGGACCACTGTGAGACTCACACACCAGAGGACCACTGTGAGACTCACACACCAGAGGACCACTGTGACTCACACACCAGAGGACCACTGTGAGTCACACACCAGAGGACCACTGTGAGTCACACACCAGAGGACCACTGTGAGTCACACACCAGAGGACCACTGTGAGTCACACACCAGAGGACCACTGTGAGTCACACACCAGATGACCACTGTGAGACTCACACACCAGAGGACCACTGTGAGACTCACACACCAGAGGACCACTGTGAGTCACACACCAGAGGACCACTGTGAGTCACACACCAGAGGACCACTGTGAGACTCACACACCAGAGGACCACTGTGAGACTCACACCAGAGGACCACTAGCTGTGAGTCACACACATGAGGACCATTATCAGAGGATCTCACCTGACAGTCAGTCGCCTCACCTGACAGAGATGGAGGGCCTGGTTGATGGGGAAGCGGTGAGGGAAGTAGACGAAGGCTCGGGGGGCAGAGGCGCAGAGTTGAGGAAGAAGACGGGTGAGGGTTCGAGCCTGGCCCGACAACCGCCACTCCATCACAGACCAGCCCAACGCTGACCCCTCCACGTCCTCACTACACGCACACACCTGCCATGTGTATTGTCACAACACTGCATTATGGCACATATACACTCACTTCTCTGACACATATACACTCACCTGGACACACTCTGGGACACATGCACTGGGCACTCTGGGATACAGTTTATATATATCTAGGACCGGAACATTGAATTGTCTGGAACGGAAACACAGCATACTATGAGACAATCTCTGTATACATTGGTACAGAAACACTAAATAGCATGAGCCTGGCACCTGTAATATATATCCCTATCAATATCCACTTTGTGGCACACATCTTGGCCAAGACTACAACGTGTCCAGAACGACGACGAAGGCTTTACTTACCCTCTTGATGGTGTGGTTGGCGAGCTCTGTGGCCCAGAGGTTGAGCTGTGTGATCTCCCCGCTGTAGCTCTGGTCCCGCTGGAACCCCCCGCCCAGCTGGTCCTGCTCCTGCCCTGCCAACACAAGCACCTCTAGTGAGTCTAACGTAGCATGGTCCCGCTGGAACCCTGCAGTTGTTATTGTTTGGAAGGTCAGAGGGCAGTTGTTAGTTGTGGATTAGAAGGTCAGAGGGCAGTTGTTATTGTTTGGAAGGTCAGAGGGCAGTTGTTAGTTGTGGATTATCATCCAGTAATAGTTTACAAATCTATATCACAACTTAAATTGTAAACTAAATGTCAAAACTAAATTATAAACTGTCAACAATAATTTGTGTAAAGCTTGAGTTACTTTGCTATACACTTGTCCATGACAACCAGAACTATGACGTTTTGTATAAATTGTTACCAATAAAACCTCTGCTTCTGGATTCAGTAAACTACTTTTTAAACGGCACTGATACAACGAAGATGAAAACTTTATTAAAGCATGTTTTTAAGTAAGATTAAGAGAATGCAGACTAAAAATGCTTTTATTAAAAGAGGTTAAAGGAGCTGACCTAATATGTAGACGCCGTGCCCGAGCAGCGGGCTCTCTGAGAGAGGAAGGGCTCCGTGCGCGCGCAGCACCCCGTCCCTGTACACCCTCCATTGACCAGTAAGGTAACTGTAGAGGAAACAGAAGTGTGACCAGGACCCGAGAGGCGTCTCTACTGTTGTCACCACCCACTTGCTGTGGAGCGCCGCTCTCAGTCCCGTCACCTGGTGGTCTGGCCAATCACAACAATCATTACCCATTGGCCCAAGCTTGTGTCACTTGTAGCACCACACAGTCACAGACCCACACACACGAGACCCAGACAATCATTACCCACACACACGAGACCCAGACAATCATTACCCACACACACGAGACCCAGACAATCATTACCATACACAATCATTACCCACACACAGAGACCCAGACAATCATTACCATACACAATCACTACCCACACACAGAGACCCAGACACAATCAAGAGATCCAGAAACAAGTTACTACATATCTCACAGGCAGCTATCCGAACTCTACTCCTTTCACCAGTCAGCCCGACGACATTATATCCACAATTCAATCACTTAAAACCAAAGCTAGGAACATTAATGAAATACCATCTATGATATATAAGAGTGCTGCCCCTGCTCTTGCACTACCCATAGCTCTGTTCAACAAATCTCTAGTGTCATACTTTTCCTTATATATATTTAAAAACCAAGTGTATTATCAGTTCATAAAGGAGGCGAGACAGCTGACAAACATTTACAGACCAATATCAAATCTACCTCTATTTCAAAAATATTTGAAAAAATTATTTACATACACCTCTATTCTTACCTTGTAAAACTCAACATATTAAGTCCCTGTCAGTTTGGCTTCCGTTCCCAAAGAAGTATCAATGATGCCATAATTAGTCTGATATAATCTACACAGCCCGTGACTAAAATGACTTCGCAATTGGCCTTTGATACTGTAAACCATAACTACCTTTTTAAACTTCACCACTATGGTATCCAAACCACGTTCATTCCCTCCAGCGGTCGACCCCAAAGACGCATTCATAAATTTTAACATGCTGTTCATTCAAAACGGGAATTTCCTCAAATATAAATTAATGATAAAATACTGGCATACTGTGCATAACTGGGCAAAGGTTAAGTTAGGTTAAATGTTTGGGTTTTGTTGGCGATTATTTGTATTAGTATTACGTGGGTGAAGCATTTTGTAGTGAATAGCGAATAGTTCTACTATCTAGCTGCTTAGTACGTCAATGTTTGTTCTGTGGTGCACATATTTACAATATGTACTATGTAATCAGAAGAATGTGTAGAAATAAGACTGATATGAGTAATAGGCCAGTAATGAGTAGGCCAGCTAAAGGCCTGGTGCCCCATGAAGGAATATCCATGAAAAAATAAGTGGAACTTAATAATTACAAGGTCTTGGTGGGATAACTCACCTATTCTGAGCTCGTTGTCCTTACGATCAGAAACAGCGTAAGACATGATTGTGGACTCCTCCCGAAACCTGATGAGGCGGATTCTGTAGCACAGAGTGAAGGATCTGAGTTCTGGGAAGGGTGTGAGGAGACGGGCGTATGTTGAGTCGTCGGGGACCCCAGACTCCTGTAGCGCCAGGACCTGTACCTGGCCAGGCCCCGGGGTGCTGCTGGCTGACACACTCCATACTGACCCTCTCACCTTACTCTCTTCTCCACCTGGGCCTTCTGCTGTAGAGCCGGGTGATGGACCCCATGCTGACCCTCTCACCCTCCTTTCCTCCTCGCTTGTTGCCTCTTCTGTGGGGTCAAGACAGTAATATGGATCTCAGAAAATAGTCGCTGACACGGAGCAAGAGGCCCCTCACGTCTCCTCCACCATTAACAAGCAACACACAACCTTTAACATCTACATTGAAGTTGGTCGATGTAATTACATGTTCTACAACATCGATTCATAAGAACTATTTTAAATTGTTTGCACGTATGTCAAAATATACTTGGTAAATATAGTTTTTGTGTATAATTTGTCGTTAGCCAAGAATGAGTGTGGGTGCACTCTCCGACACACCCAGTACTCCACAGTACTGAGAGTACTACAGTCTGAATCAGTCAGTCAGAGAGAGTCTGAAGACAACTCTCTCCATATATATGACAAGTCTAATTATATGAAAAAAAATTAGAATCTTATGAAAGCTGCCACCACTTCTCAATTAAAGTAATTAATATACTAATTGATGTCAATATCTTTCAGGACTCATTCCTCCGCTTTATAAGTCGTGGAAAAGAAGTTCCTGTAAAACAATCTAATATGAGGTATAGATGTTTTGTTAGTTGATTCTTCAGAGGTTGCATGTCGTGTCACCTTTCTTTTAATGACGTCTTCAACATAACCGTTAGAGAAGTCATTATTGACTAGGAGCTGCCTTACTCTACAGAGTTCCTCGTCGACCTGCTTCCAACCAGAGCTGAGTGCGTGAGCTCGGTCGACGTCGACTCACCAGAGCTGTCACTCCAGGGTTGTAGCGGATGTTTGGGTGATTCGGGTAGGCTTGGTAATTGTGGGGATTAGTATATACAAGAAGACAAATTAAACAAGGTCCAAAAACCTGAAGATTCCGTAGGAAAGAGGAGCGAGGTGTGGGCGACACTGCCCACTGCCACCAGCACCACCAGCACCACCTGCCTCGTCGTCAACACCATCTTCAGGACACTGAGGGTTCCGTCACTCACACGGCAGGTCTTCATGGCGAGGCTCGTAATAGTGTACTTGGTAATTGGGAATATTTTATTAACCACCTCTACCACTTTCTTTTCTGCTTTCTTATTTCAGGCCAATCATAACCACTTGATACATTAATGATTTTCAATCGTTGTGTGACCCGAGATACTTGCTGGCATTGTGTGTTGTGACCTTTCCTGTACACTGTGTTGTGACCTTTCCTGTATGGTGTGTGTTGTGACCTTTCCTGTACACTGTGTTGTGACCTTTCCTGTACGGTGTGTGTTGTGACCTTTCCTGTACGGTGTGTGTTGTGACCTTTCCTGTATGGTGTGTGTTGTGACCTTTCCTGTACACTGTGTTGTGACCTTTCCTGTACACTGTGTTGTGACCTTTCCTGTACGGTGTGTGTTGTGACCTTTCCTGTACACTGTGTTGTGACCTTTCCTGTACGGTGTGTGTTGTGACCTTTCCTGTACGGTGTGTGTTGTGACCTTTCCTGTATGGTGTGTGTTGTGACCTTTCCTGTACACTGTGTTGTGACCTTTCCTGTACGGTGTGTGTTGTGACCTTTCCTGTACACTGTGTTGTGACCTTTCCTGTATGGTGTGTGTTGTGACCTTTCCTGTACACTGTGTTGTGACCTTTCCTGTACGGTGTGTGTTGTGACCTTTCCTGTACGGTGTGTGTTGTGACCTTTCCTGTATGATGTGTGATGTGACCTTTCCTGTACACTGTGTTGTGACCTTTCCTGTACGGTGTGTGTTGTGACCTTTCCTGTACGGTGTGTGTTGTGACCTTTCCTGTATGGTGTGTGTTGTGACCTTTCCTGTACACTGTGTTGTGACCTTTCCTGTACGGTGTGTGTTGTGACCTTTCCTGTACGGTGTGTGTTGTGACCTTTCCTGTACGGTGTGTGTTGTGACCTTTCCTGTACACTGTGTTGTGACCTTTCCTGTACGGTGTGTGTTGTGACCTTTCCTGTACACTGTGTTGTGACCTTTCCTGTACGGTGTGTGTTGTGACCTTTCCTGTACGGTGTGTGTTGTGACCTTTCCTGTACGGTGTGTGTTGTGACCTTTCCTGTACGGTGTGTGTTGTGACCTTTCCTGTACGGTGTGTGTTGTGACCTTTCCTGTACGGTGTGTGTTGTGACCTTTCCTGTACGGTGTGTGTTGTGACCTTTCCTGTACGGTGTGTGTTGTGACCTTTCCTGTACAGTGTGTGTTGTGACCTTTCCTGTACGGTGTGTGTTGTGACCTTTCCTGTACGGTGTGTGTTGTGACCTTTCCTGTACAGTGGGTGTTGTGACCTTTCCTGTACGGTGTGTGTTGTGACCTTTCCTGTACGGTGTGTGTTGTGACCTTTCCTGTACGGTGTGTGTTGTGACCTTTCCTGTACGGTGTGTGTTGTGACCTTTCCTGTACACTGTGTTGTGACCTTTCCTGTACACTGTGTTGTGACCTTTCCTGTACACTGTGTTGTGACCTTTCCTGTATGGTGTGTGTTGTGACCTTTCCTGTACACTGTGTTGTGACCTTTCCTGTACACTGTGTTGTGACCTTTCCTGTACACTGTGTTGTGACCTTTCCTGTACACTGTGTTGTGACCTTTCCTGTACAGTGTGTGTTGTGACCTTTCCTGTACAGTGTGTGTTGTGACCTTTCCTGTACACTGTGTTGTGACCTTTCCTGTACGGTGTGTGTTGTGACCTTTCCTGTACAGTGGGCGTTGTGACCTTTCCTGTACGGTGTGTGTTGTGACCTTTCCTGTACACTGTGTTGTGACCTTTCCTGTATGGTGTG